CTTACACAGTTTTCTTGGGAGAAGCAAGTGGACTTTCTCAGAGGTTGTGGAAACTATAATTCATTGTGTAAGTAGTTTCATTGCCTAGGAGTTTCCATAATCTGAGAGAGGGGAGCAGGATCAACTATTGTGCAATGAGCGATTTACATAGACACAGTCTTGTTTTCTGCTGCTCCAGAAAATAGGACTCGGAACAACGGATGCAAGCTACAAGAAAAGAGATTCCACCTCAACATTAGAATCAACTTCCTGACAGTGAGAGCTGTTCGACAGTGGAACACACTCCCTTGGAGAGTGGTGGAGTTTCCTTCTTTGGAGGTCTTTAAACAGAGGTTGGATGGCCATCTGTCGGGGACGGTTTGATTTTGAGTTCCTGCATGGCAGGGGGTTGGACTGGGTGGCCCTTGTGATCTCTTCCAACTCAATGATTCTATGATTCTATGACAGTCCACTGAGTGATTGGCTATACAACTCCAGACTAGATAGTCAATGTGGTGTAGTGGTTTGAGCACTGAGCAACAACTCTGGAGACCAGGATTCAAATCCCCACTCAACCATGGAAACCCACTGGGCAAGTCACATTCTCTCAACCTCAGAAGAAGTCGACGACAAACAACAAATTCTGAACAAATTCTCCCAAGAAAACTCTGTGATAGCTTCATCTTAGGGTCACCATAATTGTGAAATGACTTGAAGGCAACCAACAACAACCCCATACAGTTGCCCAACCCTTTTGTAAGGCATTCCAGTGGACCAGCAGCCTGGTGAACAACATTGGCAGATATCCAGGGTGAACAACAGCGACAATAAACACTATTTCTGAAGTAGCAATCGATTCTCCTGGAATTGATCAGGAGCTGCTGAAAAACATCATTAACAATTGTAAGCCTTCCTGCACATTTCAATAGATTTGAACATGAAAAACCTTCCATCTGCCTCAGGCATCCACCCACAGCAAGTCCCTTGATGCTCTGACAAGGGACCTGGCCTAAAATAATCAGCAGATGGAAAGAAGTTAATTTTCTTTCTCCTTGCAAAAAAAAAAAAAGCATATGAAAAATACATATCCAGTGCATCAAGGTATATTATCTAGTCTCCTTCCTCCCTGGATTTTAATTCCCAATGGATCAGACTTCTCTCTTTTTTCCTTTGTGTTCCTCATTTGCAAGCTGATTCAGAGCCAAGGATGATTTATAACTCTGATGCCATTTTATACAATGACCAAGTCTCACCATTCACTGCTTTCCTCAAATCAATCCATTCAATCCAAAACGATAATCTCTGCAGTGAAAAAATCCAGCTGGTAGGCTGTTCAGGGTTACTAACAAGTTAATTTTGCTTAAGAACAACAACAACACACATACCAAACTACATGGAAATTGCATGTCCATGTAACAATCTCATATTTAGTATTTTTTTGTGTCTCCTATTTTTATGAAATCAGAGGCAAGTCTATATACTAGGCTTCCACAGCTTTTGGATAAGGCAATATTGAAGAATAACCTCTCTTTGAAATACTTTGCTTTGATTATAGAAATATAAGCAGAGACTATTCAAACAATCAGGCCCAAGAAGTTGGCAGTAAAACTGCTGATGGTGCAACAGATCCCTAGTGATATAATGTTTCATCCAACAGTATGGCTGCATCCCAGTTTTATTGATTTTGGTTAAAATTCTGCTTTCTATATTTGGACACTCTACATTTTGGCTCTCTATGTATCTGGAAGGCTCTGTATACCCTAAAGGCACCAGGTCCCATCTGATTTTGGAAGCTAAGTAGGGTCAGCTCTGGCTAGTACCTGGATGTGAGACTACCAATGAATTAAGCAACAGTTATGGGAGACTGCTAGGGCCATAAATATTCCAGGAGTTCCCTCAGGTGGCCATTGCTGACAACCAACCATTCTGAAGGAAGCAACACTTTCATCTGAATTCCTGGTTCATGTTTCCAAAGTACTTTGGACCCTGTATCATTAACTGACTATGTGACTCAACACTCCCTTGGATTGATGCCTTGGATTTATTGCTGTATCTACTAACCTGGACTGCCTGGACTCTGAGAACTGTTTTCACCTGGCTGGTAAGGTCCTGTAGATGACTGAGGCTGCTATTGTCTTGTCTGGCTGACATACTTTGCTTATTACTTTGCCCAGAGCTGGCTTCCAAGACAGGACACAAGGCTGGTAGCACAATGAATGCACAACTCCTCATGCATATATTCCCATTACACAAATCTGATGCAGAATTTCAACATGGGAGTAGCAGGCAAAAAAGGGAACTTTTCCACATACTTGAGCCACCTTTTCCACATACTTCCCACCAAATGCAATTCAATTAGAGGTGTCAGAAATATGGAAAGACTATCAGGGGGTGCTTAGTTATTTCAAAAGAAAAATCAGCAACAATGCAATTATTATGTTGATTCGGCACTTCCCATGACAGGTCACTGTAGGGCTACAGTAGAAGCTGAAAAAGCTCAAGTAATCTCTGGCACAAATTGTTCTTGCAACTGTAGCAAAGCAGAGGCTAAAACTCAACCGTCCATGCTATTTTCCTAAATTAAACAATAAAGCAGGAGCCAATTCAGATTCTCCGTATGCTGAAATTCTTCATTAATCCTCACAGTAAAGGAGTGGAGGGAGTGAACAATTAAACTCAAGATGAATACCTCCTGCTTCATGAGACAAATTGATGTGAAAGCAAGAAAGACAAGATGATGGAGTCCAGTGATGTACGTCTCAGAAGCAATAAACAGACCACAAAATTTGACATGGAGTCACAGAACTTGCCTAAGCATCAAGCCAAATAGTCTCTAAGAATAATAAAGCTTCATATTTATTATCATCTCTTTGCTCCCCCACTCTCAAACTAATGGAATGTAGTAGACTCTACATTCATA